CCATGGAGAGCCAAAAGAATTACATTTATTTTGTAAAGTTTGATAATGGTATTATGGATGTGATAAAAATGAAAAAAGAATCCTTGCCTCTCAGAGAGATAAATTTATTATTATGATAATGTGTAATAATAATTTACAGATGTAATCTACCGTAAAGTGCTTTAGAAGGAGAGAGGAGGGAAAGTATGGAGAATCAATGAAACAAGATTGACAGAATATTAATAGGAGCTTAAGTTTAATAACAGATACATGAAAAGTCCATTATAATGTACTCTCTGCTTTTGTGTATAAATGAAATGTTCATAAAAAAAATTTTACTTTACAGTGAAAGGACAGGGGTCAGCAGGTGATGTGGTGGTTAAGGCACTAGACATTCCCCATGGCCAACCACAGTTCAAGTCCCGGACCTGATAGCTTGCTTTCTCTTTCTCTCTTTGTGTCTCTGGTCTCATTAAAATAAATGAATGAATAAATGAAATTAAATAAATAACTTTATAAAAATAAAATAAAGTAAAAGGACAAAAATTGCTATACAAAGGTTGGTCCTAGGGAATAAGGGAGTCAGATCACATATGGCTGACCTCAGTTTAAATCCTAGCCCTGGATGCTTGATAAACAGTCTGGGAATGGGTGCATGTGTATGCCTGCCCCAACTGCCAATGGGATGAAGAAATGCAAAAAGAAGGGACGTGGCATAACCACTCTCTTCATTTCTGTTTCTCTGACTTACAAACAAAAAATTTACCACACAAAAGAATATAATAAAATGGTTTTAAACTTCTTTCCAACCATAGGAAAACATTTGAAAGGCAAACCCTATCTTTCAATCATAGAAAGAACCTGAGTAACAGCAGAAAGTGTCTTTGTGTTAAGGATTTTACCTTCGCCATCCTCTGTCTATCAGATCCTGATAATCCTGTACTGTCATGGAATGTGCCCACATGCCTGAAAAAAATACATAGTGATTAATTACAGCAGATTGAAACATTTTCTTTTTTAAATTCTAAGCATTATTTTTAACAATATAAAAGCAAAAGCTAAAATTCTAGAGAACACTCAAAGTAGAGAGTGTTCACACTTTAGTCTAACAAAATATAAAACACAAATAAAATGTAAGATGGATTTCATTTAAAAGCCAAACACAATATTTCAAAGTGATTACATTTCATTGTAGATTAGTCAGTACTCTGTGACATAAGTTTAGGTCCTTATTGCAATAACACTGCAACAAACTTTCAAATTTTAATAATATCCCCAGTTTAATATGTTGATCTCTTCACAAAAATTAGAAAGCAAAAAATCTTATCCATATTAGTTCTCCTGATTTATTGGTCTGTCAGAATAGTCATGATGTATTTTTCTATGCATAGAAGAGAAGACCCAATGACCCATACACACACACACACACACACACACACACACACATATGTTTAGAGCAAAGTCTTGAATATGAAAAATAGAATCAAAGTATACAACAATATTCCTTTTAAATTTAAAAAGTAATCCAAATGCCAAGAAATAGAAAGATGATGACAAGGACTATGATATTATCAAGATGATGGAGTTATTATACAACTATTTCTAAAACTACAATAGTTATAAGAAAACATTAAAAATTTATCTGAACTACTGCCAAAAAGAAATGAATTTTTCCCTTTCATAAACAGTAAATTGTATCAAAGAAATGTGAAGATAGAGACTAGCTTGACAAAGCAGGATGAAGAAAGCCAAGAGTCCAACAGAAATGTTCAGATACTGGCAGGTACTCACTGATAGCAATAAGTTACTCTACCAACCCCAATTACATCATCTGTAATTCAGGAATGATAAAACTCACCTACCCTGTGACTAGCAGGTGGCATAATGGTTATATCGCTGGACTCCCACATGGTCGACTACGGTTCAAGTCCCAGACTCAGCAGCTTGAAAATCACGCCAGGAGCGTGTGCATGTATGCTCAAAATTCTGAGACGAGAATGGAGTAGAAGGGATTGCAGCATGGCTATATGCTCTGGACGGTGATTGCTCACTTTCTGTCTCTCTTTCTATCCAGTGAGTGCATGTACTCAATAGCAAAATCTCTCTTAAAAAAAACAAAAACAAAAACAAAAACAAATTCACATATCCAATTAGGTGGGTGTACTAAAGACTATGAAAATTAAAATTATAGTAATCCATAGTTAACTTCTCTAGATGAAAGGTTTACTTGACAAAACTTGAAATGGGACACTTGCATCAACCACTACATTAATGTTTCTCTTGCTAACATTATTGAAAAAATAACTAAGGACCTACTAAACATTAATTTTAAACACATTTAATACTGATTATCACAGGTATAATGGAAAAAATTTTTTAAAGTAAGGACTCTGTTAGTAATGCAGCTGTCACTATTTGACACCCTTCTCCTGGGCCTTTTTCTTCTCAGAACTGTAATCACGTTGCATGATCTATTTGCAAACTATTTGTTTTCTCCTTTTAATCCTACACTATGAGTATTTTTCCACTTAGGTGGTATTCATATCACTTCTAATGATTTAATAACTGTCTACGCAATTCCGTTGCCCATAATACGCACATAATAAACACTTTTAATGAATGACTCAACAGACAGACCATAATCAACCAAATCAATCCCCACATATATATTTTTCCAATGGAAAATAACTAAATTTGTATCTTCGTGGAAATCCCATTTTCCACAATACTTGATGATGCTATTAAAATAATGGATTCTACTGTGTACTTGCCAACGCATGACACAGCAGAACGCAAACACGATGTTGTGTTTACAAACAACATATCTTTCCCAGACCAAAAATGAATCATGATGGAAAAAACAAAACGGAACAAACTGTGGGTTGGCTTTATTGTCATCGTCAAGGCGGGTGGAGAAATGACAGAGCATTTAAGACTGGTAAAAATTTCACACAGATCAAGGAAAACAGGCCCCCAGGCTGGCAGTGATCAGAGTCAGCAGTATCTTGAGTCTTCTTACGGCGAGGTTTTGTCCATATAGGGTTGTGCACAAGTATGTGCACTTACACCTCTTTCTACACAAACAGCACCACACATCCGACTGTCCTGCACCCCACGTCTGGCACTCACGGCCGGGGACGCTGCCACCTCTGCCCCTACAGGTCAGCCTCAGCTGTGAGACGCCCACACGCAGTACTCCCCGGCAGCACGCCGCCATGTATTAGCCGGTCTCCCACTGACCGACACGCTTCCGGACTTAGGCGCGGCGAGCACGATCTGGTGTGTCCCAGCCTCCGCGGAAGTGTCCCCGAACAGGCACCGAGCAGCTTCCCTGCAGACTCGGACTTGAGGTGCGACTTCAATTCCGACAGCCGCGGCCCTCGCGAGGGTGCCCCCTTCCGCGTCCGCCCGGGGCACAGGGGCTGCGCCACCCCGCGTCCCTCGAGCGGGGTCCTCCTCGCCGAGACCCCGAGCCCGCGGCCCCC